AGAGAGTTGTAATCAGAAACCTTTTAACAAAATACATTTCAAACAAGAGATGTTTGTAAAACACTTAATATGCCCCCTCCCCCCTAATTGGAATTTTTCTAAGTCCAACAGGGCATAACTCTGTCAAAAATGGCACAATCGTACCCAGCTTGACCTAGATATTCATCTGATAAATCTGTATACCAAATTTCAAAATTTCATTGCAGTATGTGCAACCCCTGCAAAGAAAATGAACGGAAACTTGGTCAACCCACAGACAGACCTACCGACAGACAGCAGCAAAGCAATATGCCCTCCCTTCTTCAAAGAGGGGCATTATAATGGAAATTTCATTTCATACCCTCATTTTGAAGGCTATAGCCAGGATTACAAGTTTCCTTTAGCCACTCAGCAACAGATTTCCTTGGAGTTAAATTGCTGTGTATTTTCTCAGCAACAGATTTTCTTGGAGTTGAATTGCTGTGGATTTTCTTATCTAATGTCTCTCCAACAGATTCTACTAAAGAATTCATTCAGTTGAAAAAATTAAAATAAATATTCAAATAAGAAAATATATTCAAATAATGGAAATTTCAATTCGTACCCTCAGTTTGAAGGCTATAGCCATGATCATGAGCAAAGTCAATACTTCTCCTTGATGAAACTTTTTTTTCAGTAGGCTTGACCTCAGCTATACTCTGTCATAAAATAATGAAGTTAACATGGTTAATAGCCAACAATAAAAAATGATTTGTTTGATATACTCTGACCATACCCATACTAGTATGTTCTGTTTTTCCATTAGTACTATAAAGTATCATATCAGTGCATATTTGCCTTTAATCTAGCACATGACATAATAAAAATAATTTACCTTTAAGGGCGTGTTAATCCGACGACGTTTTGGAGTAGGTCCCTTAGGTGTTGAAGGAGACATAAGAGCCGGTGAAATTGCCAAACTGTTTAACAACTCTGTATTGCCTTTGACCTTTCTTTTTAAACTCACAGAATTTTTCACATAACGTAAGGCATGGGACACATATCTTACACGCAAACGTGAAACTGATTTGAAGACATAAAGCGTCAGTTAAAATTTTCTCAATATCTTTTTCGTATGCACGTTTTGTGCCGGTTACCCTCTGAAGATTTCTTTGAATTCGGCCACAAAACGTGCATATGGGCGCCGCCATTTTAATTGTCACGTGACCGAAAGTAGTCCAACATGGATACGTATTACATCCGAGGTTTTTTCTCGACTTGACGGAAAAGGCCGAGTGATGTTCCGATTGCTAGCTTAGAAGTGTGTGATCTACTTTCGGTTTAGGCCAATTTGAAAGCCAAGGAAAATTTAAAAAAGAAGTACGATGCTTATAAATATCTATAGTTTCGTGGGTCGTATATATATATTGATCCTCAATACTATGCCTTACAAGTTTAGCTTTTAAAAAAAGCTTGGAAAGTCAGCCAGTGGATTTATCTTTTCTGTCATAATGTTTTAAAGAATCATAGAGAACTGAAAAAATGCTTTCAACAAATTTTTAATCAGTAGCAGAGTTGGGCACTAAAATTAAAACATCGTCTTAATATTTTTTCTGCATAGAAACAGAAGCTTTGTGCATGCAGATTCTTGCATTTTTTGTCTCAAACTCAAAAGAACGGAAAGTATGTATAAACATTTAAGTTCCAATTCGTGTACGCGTAACATCAATCAAAGAAGTTATAAACCTACAATTTCATTATCAGATCTATAAGATTTTAGGGGGGGGGATATATGGACATTATGCCATTTTTGACAAAACGGAGCCAAATAAGCTTCACTATCATCCTTGTTAGAGTTTATCATGCCGCCGGTTGATAACTCTTGGCTATGTGTTTTGAAAAGGGAAACACCCTTGTCCCTGCAATACTTAAACAGCCATACTGAACCTTGGTTTGAGAATACAAATAAAGGATTATTGAAATACCTAGTACATTTTCTTGTACATTTTATAATAAAAAAAACATTTATTGTTCATTCAAACAGGTAACATGTAAGCTTTGACGGTATAGCCTAGAAGCTTTTTTTTTAATTTATTAACTACCGTCATTTGACTTACTAGTAACTAGCTGAATTTTGGTTTAAAATTGTTTCATAAAAAGTAGAATTGAAATAAAGCAAACATTACTAAGACCTACAAATTCATTTATCAGACCTCTTATAATATAATAAACCTATTATTTCATAAATATGATTGCGACAACCTAGATTATCAGGTCTTAGTTTATGAAAAACAAGCCAATTTACGGATAAAAAAAAAGCATGCGCAGACGGGGGGGGGGGGGGGGGGGTTCGGGACGGGGCCATAGGGAGTTATGGTTTATGACATTTAATTGCAAAAACTCAAAACCTTCTTGAGATATTGACTGAAAATGAAAGTTTTACACAGAGTCACACAGAAGTATGAATTTATGACACTGACGTTTGAACCTCAAAATACACAGGGGTGTTCCTTACGCCATATATATGGCCATATGGAATTGTGGTATAAAATTTCATTGCAAAAGCTCAATGGCTACAGAGATATCGCGCGAAAACAATTGTTTAAACAGACAGAATTTCTAAATTTAATACCTTGACCTTTGGCCTCAAAATCAAGAGGGTCTTCCAAATGCCATATAAGGTGTAAACAGTTGTGTAAAATTTCACTGAAATAGCTCAAAGACTTCACGCAATATTGCCGGGAAGTGAAAGTGTTACAGACAGACAGAACTATTGATGGACGGACAGACAGACTGAAATTGATATTATCTCATTTTAGCGGGGGCAACAAATGAGCAAGCTTAGCTAGTTATGTTTTCTTTCCGAAGTATCTGTTGTATGACTTAACAAGTCTGTCCACTATTTAGCATCGGGATCGAAATGATTTGTAGTGAAAACGAAAGTAAAAGCAGTAAAAACTCCGAAAAGCAAAAAATATGTAATAAACCAATGTTTGTACTGTATATTTAAATACATAAGTAAAAATACTTTCAATATATTTTATAAAAGAGCTTCAATTTACGCGCCAAACACTAAATTCATCCAACAGTAGCAACTGTATGCTTCGCTGCGTAGAACACATGATCATGTGCGAACCAGTTAAATTACTGCGAACCAGTTAACTGTTTGAAACCTTCTATACAAAAATAAGCATCGGGAAATTCCTTTATGAGTTAAATTTACAGATTACTTTGGTGTTTAATAGGGATTTGTTGGTTTACAATCTATATTGATTTTACTGAAATAAAATTAGCAGGCGTGATTTACTGCAGAACCACTCCCAGAATTCCAGGTCACGCAAGCGCATTGGAAGTTCTTCGTACCATAACTAGTCAGCCCGCGGGCTGACTAATTAAATTGGTAAGCCACGCAAGGAGAATTGACAATGACGTGATTTCTATATATAGATTTGTTGACGCGAAGGGAAAACTGGTTCTCGCACAAAAGAACAAGCAACAGGTGTGCGTTCAATAGACCAAATCCAGGTAAAATTAACCTAACAGCAGGGACTGCGATGCTTACATTACATACGCATGCTTTACAGTCGAAATAAATACAAATGAATATGCAAAGCATTTCATTCAAAGATTAAATTAGATTCTGCAAAAATTGAATGAAAATCTAGAGTGGTCAACGCTAATTTTATGTTAATTTTTTAGTCTGTAATTGGATTTATTAAATTAATTCCTGTCAAACTTTAATGATTAGCTGCTTTTAAATGAATGATAATTATTGTTGATAATTCCGTATTGTGTTAAGAAAATACAGTTCAAGGAAAGTATTTGAATTTAAGTAAATTGTAAACACCCAGAAGCACAAATACCGCTAGAATGAAATTTCAGAAAAAATCGCCTTGGGTGCTCTCGCAGACATCCGTGCTTTCCATATATATATTGCAGCCAAAAAAACTGCGTACTTTACTCTGGAGTTTGCTGAATAAGTCATTTGGGAACTTCATGTATAATAGTCCATGCATATATATGCATATATTCATTGCATTAAAATATTTCCCTTTCTGTTTTATTTCTTTGACATTATTGATACCAAAGAGATGACATTTCAGGCTTTCTGGAAAGCCAAACTTGTTTTATGATTTATCTTAAAACTGCGTACATAGACTTCTAATACGTAATTTCACGAACAAGTCAGTCAGTGTTTATTCAAACAACTTTTTTTGTAAAAAATTCACTTGATATAAACCTAGCTATCGGAAATACCTGAATTTAAAGCCCCAGAAACGTATTAAAGTGGGTCGTTTACAGAAAAAAAGGTTAAAATGTGGGATTCGATTTAAAAAAGGTAATAACAGAATTAGGGCATACACCTTCAAGAAGTGAATATTGAACATTCGATGCTTTTCTCACTTCTTTTTTTTCTAAAAACGGATGGTATTTTTTTTTTTAATCACACTTTTAGGAATATAATGGTTTCTATGTATTAAAGTTATCTTTGGTGAAGACAGATATCCACTTTAAGAAGAGAAATAGTTCCCCATTAATGTATGCAAAGTGCATCTTACTGCTTTAAACAGATTTAAATCCGCGTAGTATTACCCTCTAAAAATTTACAATACGAACAGAAAGACAACTCGTCATTCTTTTTGAATTCAAGCAAAGAGAAGTTATGACGCTTTTTTCCGAAAAAATGCATGCTTTTTGACATTAAGTGTATGTACACTTAAAATCAAACTCAACAAAGCAATTGTACAAGGTTAGCTTTTTTTTAAAAAAGCTGAGGGTCAGCCACTGGAATACAGAAAGTTTCTCTCTTGTTTTGTAATGGTTTATGATTTGATCTATACATCATGTTGTGTTCCTTTAATGTAATAAATGCCATTGTAAGAAAGTTAATTATTTTTAACATAATGCTGTACATGATAAATAATAAAGCATATAATAAATTTTAGTTAGTCTGCATCGTGATCATTACAATGATCTCCAATAATTATATAAATTCTCTTCGGCTCAGACATCAGAGAAAGATCATCTCAATTAAAAGCCACCATGGCAAATAAGATCACGTTAAATTCTATAAAAACTATGGAGAATAAGATGAATAAAAGGAAGGAAGACTTTGTGTTAGATTGTTTTTGAATATTATTGAATAACAGTTTTCAGTTGTGCATTTCGAGGCAATGCATGATGTGGAAGGGGGGGGGGGCATACTGCATGTATATTTAACTCAATTTCTAAGTGTGAGCATCCATTTAAGTGTTATTAGGAAAGAAAAGAATTGCTTCCTAAAAAGTAATGAACACCACAGAAAACAATTCAAAATATGTTTATTCATGCAGTACGTATACATAAAATGTCTTTGATGATGTACGTCTACCATCATAGCAAAACTATAGATTAAAATACTGGAATCCATCCCCCCTCTCCTTCCATTAGGGGGTGGGTGGGTGTTGACCCTGTCTCTAAATCAGCAGTTCTCTCAGCTATCGCATTTGAACCACTGTGGTCAATTTCTTAAATGTGGGCGCGGTTCACGAGTGACGTGCACAAGCGGACTTGCACGTCCATTACTGTCTTACAGTGGTTTTCTGATGTTTTCATAACGTTTAGGCCTATCATTAGAGTGAAAAAAAAATTATCGTTCTTTTTTTCACAGGTGCTTGAGGACAGGACCCCCCCCCCCCCCACCACCAATATAGACCCCCGGGTTTTGTTAGCCTTTTTTTCCCATTAATTATATATGGATGACACATTTGTGGTATAATCTATCCTATCAATTCAGAAAATTTGCTTAAACTAACCTTTTATACAAAATTCTACCCCACTCTATATATATAAATTAACTATTTTTCATATAGAACGAAGGGTAGATTTTATAGAACGTTTGTTTTAGGTAATTTTTTCGATTTGTTGGTATAGATCTTATCACAAATATGTCAATGAAAGATTATTTATGAGAATAAAGTCGCAAAAGCCCAGGGGTCTATATCGAAAGGGGGGGGGGGTTCCTGTCGTCAAGCACCTATGTTTTTTTTTTTCTCTCACTATTTTGGGACCTTTGTGGCAAGTGGATCGTTGTGTGAATTCCGACCCGTACATGTCTTATGCAAGGTACTGAATATTGATCGAGGGAGTCTTGCATCAGGCATCCGGAGGAATACACAATTTAAATCTTCGGCTTGCAATGGCGATTGAGGGAATAAATGTTCTTATCTTCTATTAGAAGAAATGAAATATTTTCATAGTATGATTTAAAAACTGAAAAATATTCCATCTAGAAGCTGAACAGTCGTCATAAATTTTCTTCGAGA